GTGCGGTGTTTGCCCGACCGCAGCGAGGACCGCGGCCCTGCCGGGCCTGGGATCAGCGTCCGTTGACAGTTAACCCTCCAGGACGGGCTTCCGCCCAGCTCGGGCCGCAGCCCTGTCCTGCTCCTCCGGGCAGCGGGGCCTGGAGCACGCCGTCCCGGGATGAGCGCGCGTGGGGAGTGCGCAGGCCGTCCCCGGCTGTCTGCAGCCCGCACAGCTCCTCCGGTCCTGGCGCCCCCGCAGCAGGCGCGGGCGTCTCTCCCGGAAAGCTCAGCAAGGCTGGGGTCGGGGCTGAAGGGCCTTCCCAGTGGTGACAGCCCTGCTCTCAGCATTCTCCCGTGTGCCCAGGGCATGTCCGCCTCGGCACGCCTCTGCGCGGCAGCTCTGGCTTCCCAGGAGGAAACGCAGCACCGCGGAATAAGCTCCGCGACCCCGACGCGCAAACCCGGATTCAGACCCGGGTCGAGCTCACCTGTGGGCACAGATCTCTAACATCAGGCGGTGATGGAGGGGCATCCAGAGGGACTTGCATGACTCCATTAAGTTATTAAGGATGTTTTCAATGGTAAACGTTAGTGGATACAGCTTTTTAAAGCAATTCGGGGCTACCGTCTTCAGATCGTGTTGTATCCAATACAAATAATAATAGCATATCACCATATAAACCTTTGCTTTGCTGAGAGGTTTCTGAGCCTTCAGAATGGTTTATTTGTAGACCATGTGGTTTGTTTTGTTTTGTTTTACAAACCCTGGATATCACCTAAATAAAATAAATCACCTCTTGGCAATTTTGTGAGGGTTAATGAGCTTCCAAAGCAGTAGGCACTTACTGAACGATCGCTAGTTTTCTTTTATTATTCTACCATCCAAAAAAGATATAAAAACCACTATCCGGCCGGCGTGGTGGTTAAGATGGCTGGAACTCTCATGGCCGACTGTGCTGTCAGAGCCCTACACTGGGAAGCTTGAGAAAAATGCAGGGCGCATGTGCTGCACCCAAAATCCCCGAAAGAGGGTAGAGGTGGAGGAGAAAGGATTGCTGCATGCCATCCCCTGTGGGGGTGCTTTCTCACCATGACAATCTGGACCTCCGCAAGGGGACGCCACTCTAGCAAATTAAAAACAAAACGTGGGCCAGCAGATAGCATGGCGGTTAAGGCATTGGACTCCCAGGTGGCTGACTGCAGTTTGAGTCCTTTGCTTAGTGGCTCCCTATCTCACGTTCCTTCTCCCTCTGGTGAGGAAATTTAAATAAATAAATAAACAAATAAATAAAATAATTCTGAAAAAAAAAACTATTAATACTATCTAAGGTGTTTCTTTTCTCTGAACCTAAAAGCAAGAACTCACTCAGGAGATAGGCATTCTTTTGTTTTTGTTTTTTTTTTTTTTTGGAGAGGTTTTCGCTATAGGGCGTGTGCTTGCCAGACAGAGAGAGACATAGAGACAGAAAGTGAGAAATCACCCCCCAGGGGGGATGGTCACAACGCAATCCCTTCTCCTCCATTCTCCTCTCAGGATCTTGGGCACACATGCACACATGCCCCGCTTGAGTTTTAAGCCACTGGGTCCGGGACGGGAACCCCGGTCGACGTGGGAGTCTAGTGACATAGCCACTACGCTAATTGCTGGTTCCCAGGAGACAGGCATTCTGATAATGCGCAGGCCAAGTCCCCGGACCTGGTAAAAGTACCTTAGTCATTGCTAGAGAGCCGTTACCAGTAAGAGTGTCGTGTGTCTTTTGTCTCCAGAGCCTTATGGTAATTGACTTAAATATTTTTTAAAACTCAACCTGAATGTGTTCCCTATGTTGGAAAGGTATCTAGTGGTGACTGAGGATCCGGCTAGCTAAGTTGTCATTTTATAATATATGGAGTCAGCACTGTTAGGAACCTAACTTTGGAGACAGGCTAAAATTTTTCTTGAAGGGAATTGTGGAACAGAACAGCTAAATTTTTCAGAAGGAAGTTTCCATCTAGGTTCCAAACTGGGTAAGTTGTTGCATTTTTCACTTTCTTGTGTTCAGGTGAGAGTCCACCATCTTAGATCTACTGTCCAACATGGTGCCTACGGTTACTAGATCTTGGACTTGGAAAAAATGAGAGAGTGGATGCAAACTGTTCTCACCACAAAAAATGATGAGTTTCGTGTTATCCGTGTTGTTGCACATAACAGTAATTTGCTGGTTGTCAGTGTTTGGAACACCTTAGTATGGCTAGACCTTATTTCATTTATTCATTGATAAATGGCTGTTGTGAATAAAAACAAAAATTTTTTTAAATGAAAACTTTGTGAGGCAATACGTGTTCATTAGCCCCATTTAGTCATTCCCCGCATACTTCAAAACATCATGGTGTCCAGAGTAAATATGTGCAATGTTATCTGTTAGCGTAAAAAAGCAAAAATAAATTTCAAAGGGATTCTATTTAAAGTAGGCTCAAGTAGGGGAAATGTGTAAGAGTAGAGGAAGAGTTCATCAAAGTCACGGGAATTAAGATGAATACATGGGCCCTTATTGTTGTCTGAGTGGACTGTGACATCACAGTATTTAATTAAGAATAGCACGAGTGTTCAGTCCAAGCGGTCCTCAGATGCATCCAAAGAGCATAACTTACGATGCCTAACTTCCTCTAGAAGCTATTATTTGACGGATGAGATAATACTTGCCCGGGTAAAATGCGAGCTTGTGATCACTTCTCTGAAATCCTTATCATTCGGCCCCAGCTTCTCTACCAGCTTCCTATCAGCCCTTCAGAATTCACGCCAGCTTTCCTTGTCTGGAGGCAAACCTTGCAAAGACGAGCGTCTGTTCTAAGAGGCTGAAATGTGAGAGAGGCTGTACTTGGTTCTCGTTTATTTGGGAGAACCTAATTGGTCTTCATCTCTAGTATTTTGTTACTTGCTTGGTATTAGTATTTCTGTTCTATTAATAGTTTCTGCCTGAAAATAAAAAAGAGAGAACTATCCATTTACTTTCTCCTCTAGTGCCAAATTTTGAAAAAAGCCATACGAAATTCTCAAGTTGTTAATTCATGATCTGATCTATGTGCAGGCACGATCTCTGAGAATAAAAAGTGCCACTTTGTCCCCTTTTTCTTTGGTTTTGGGTCATTTGCTACATAAATATAAAGTAATATACAACTTAAATATTAGACAGAAGAACCGTAAAAATAAGAACCAACTGGAGGGCTAGCAGGCGGTGTAGTGGTTGAGGCGTTGGACGCTCACGTGACTGACCATAGTTGGTCCTAGAGGCTTGCTTTCTCACTTTCTGTCTCTCTCTGGGGAGCGCACATGCCTTATAGCAAAAATTAAAATAATAATAAGAATTTAAAAATAATAATACTAAATAAAGTTTTTAAAAACTCTTTTGAAGCAGTTAGGCAATTTTATGTTTATATCCCCTTGCATTTCTGTATAAATTTACCATAGATATGTATCCATGAATAATATATTGTTGTTTTTTTTTTTTTTTTGGAGAGATTTTCACTATAGGGCACGTGCGCTCACCAGACAGACAGACAGAGAGAGACACAGAGACAGAAAGCGAGAAATCACCCCTCAGGGGGGATGGTCACGCCGCAATCCCTTCTCCTCCATTCTCCTCTCAGGATCTTGGGCATGCACGCACATGCGCCCGGCGTGAGTTCTAAGCCACCGGGTCTGGGACACGAACCGCGGTCGACTACGTGGGAGTCCAGAGACATAGCCATTACGCTAACTGCTGGTTCCCATTATATATATTGTTTAATTTTACCTCTTTTGGACTTGATAAAAATAGAAGCATATTCTGAATGTTTTAAAATTGTTTCCATTTGAAATTATCTTTTTAAAATTAGTCCAACTTGTTATAAACATACTTTTTTTCACTGCTAATACAGTATTTCACTGAATGAGTATATAGCTATCTATTCTACTGCTGACAGGTTCTTGTCTTTTGCTGTTAAAACCATTCTTGGGACCAGCAGTTAGCGTAATGGCTTTGTCGCTGGACTCCCACATAGTCGACCGCGGTTTGCATCCCGAACCCAGTGGCTTAAAACTCACGCTGGGCACGTGTGCGTGCGTGCCCAAGATCCCAAGAGGAGAATGGAGGAGAAGGGATTGCAGCGTGGCCATCGCCCCTGGAGGATGATTTCTTGCTTTCTGTCTCTCTGTCTCTGTCTGTCTGGCGAGCACATGCGCCCTATAGCAAAAACCTCTCCAAAAAAAAAAAATTCTTACTTGGGGCCAAAGGTGGTATAGTGGTTAAGGGCACTGGACTCCCACATGGCTGACCACCGTTCAAGTCCCGGGCCTGGTGGCTTGTTTTCTTGCTTTCCCTCTCTCTCTTTTTCTCTCACTCTGTCCCTCTATGGTCAAATTAAAATAAATACATACATACATACATACATACATAAATACATAAATATATAAATAAATAAAAGTTAAGTAAAGATAATTCTTAGAAAGAAATTCTTGTTCAAGTTTCCTACCATTTCTTTGGACTTTACCTAGAGTGAGATTGATTATGGGGTCGTGAATATGCTCAGCTGTACTAGATAATGCATTAAGTTATGTTTTCACTAGCATTTGCTCTATATTTTAACCAATATTATAGTAGTTTTTTTTTGTTTTGCCAATTCAGTGGATGGAAAATATAACAGTATCCCATGTGTGGCTTAGCTTTGTGTTTCACATGTTCCTCCTGGCGGGGTTGAGCATCTTTACATGTGATTCCTGACAGGTCAGATTTCCTCTTCTATGAAGCGTTTGCATCTTTTGTCCATTTTCTGTTTGTTTAGCATTTTCTTATTGGCACGTAGGAGTTCTTCACTTACTCTGAATCTTCATCTTTTGTCCGTTACGCGTGTTACAAATCTACCTTTTTTTCCCTTTCTTTTTCTTCAGCCTATTCCCTCTCCTTTCCGTTCATTCGCCCTTTCCCATTTTCCTTATCAGGACTGCCCCTCTGTCTGTCCTGTCCCCAGTGTGATAAAGGCCGCACACCTCCCTCTGAAGTTGGTCGGTCCACCACCTGAGCCCTTGGGTACATCGAGTGCCTGCCAGAATCTCGTAAGACCAGATGACTGTTCTCAGAGATAGGAATCCAGCTCCTGTGAGCCTCAGCCAAACCGGGGAATCATGGTGCTGGTCCTCTTCACCTTTTCTTAAAATTAATCCATTTATGCTTTTTTATTGTGAGATAAATTTTAAAAGTAGGCATAGGTTATTACTGTTTCCATTCTCTTTCTTTTTGAGAAACTAGGTTAGAACACAGATTAACAATGTAAATATCGAAGTACAAATTTGACATCCCTATAATTTCCTAAGCGCATTTGTGTCACGCTTTCCTATAGTGCATGGAATTCAGAGCTCCTGCCTCTCATCAGTGCAAACACACATGCATGCACATGTGTGCGCACACACACACACTCACACTCTCCCCCTACGTACACCTCAGTCTTTGAGCCCGGACTTACCGTAATATCTGGTCTCTCTCTTCCGCATGGCTCCTATGTCGCGATCCTCCTGCCTCACCCACCCAAGTAGCTGGGACTACAGGTGTGCATCCCCACACTCGAGTTTTTCTAAATCCGAACTTACTTTTCTTTTTGACTTTCACTTTTTGATTTCAGGTTAATTTCACATTTTACATAAAGTCCTCATCATGCTGTATACAATATGTTATATATTTTTTCAACAGGGAACTTTACATTTTTTCATCTGTCAGATATTTTCTTCCCTTGCAGCTCACTTTTAGGGTAGGCCGGGAATTGAACTTGGACCTCATATGTGGCCCCAACTTGCAGAGCAGCAGCATCTTAACAGCAGGTGCCACCAAGGCTGGGCTGAGCATTCGAAATAGATGATGTCACACTTCTCCCTTACCCCCCCCCCCCGCTGGCCGCCCCCCCCCCCCCCCGTTAGCACCACCCCCTGCTCTTGGAATGTTATCCACACGGTGCTCCTACCTGTTGAGTCTTGCTCGCGATGTTCCTCAGATTAACCAGGCCTTTTCTCTCCTCCAGGCTGTCGTATTTGCTAGTTCTTCAGTCTGGAATTCTCTTCCCCTTGCTCTTAATGTGTCTAGCTCATTTGCCTTTTTTGAGTTTCAGCTCCAACATCACCTCAGTTACCTTCCGAGCCCATTCTTGGCAAAATTACCCCGATACTCTCATGTACCCCAATTTATCTTCTTCACGGCTTTTTTGATAGTACGTAGTTACTTGTCTGTATGTCTGTTTTCTTCCTATCCTTCTCACCAACTGGAATGGAATCTTTGACAGGGTAGAAACTTCTCTATCTTATTTAAAGTACCCATCACATAGTGCGAGTTGAGAAAATACTTATCAGATAAATAGTCACCTCTAATGATTACCTCCTTTGCAAAAGGAGAACCTGAAGAGCGATTGTTAAAAGTTTTCTTTTTATTTTATTGGGTTGTCAGAAAAACCATGGTACATTTTTGCATAGAAAAAAATGTATCATGAATTTTCCCGACAACCCAATATAATTCTGTTATGCTAAGGATGATCAACAGCCATTCCTTGAGCATTTTGCCTGCCTGCTTTCTTTTGTTTGTTTATGTTTTTGCCATAGGGCACAAGTGCCCACCAGCACCATGATTCCCTGGTTTAGCTATGGCTGACAGGAAGCTGGAATCCTGTCACCCTCAGTCATCTGGTTTTACTAGATAGGAGAGATGAAGAGAGACAGAGACAGGGAGAGTGAGAAATCACCCCCAAGTGGAGGATGGCCACACCACAATCCCTTCTTCTCCATTCTGCTCTGGGAATTTGGGGTACCTACGCTCATGCTCCGAGCATCATTTTCAAGCTGGTAGGTCCAGGACTCGAACCATGGTTAACCACTACACCACTTGCTGGCCCCTCCTGCTTGCTTTTTTAAATAGATTACAGTGAAACTTGCCTGTCAGTGTCCCAAAGATGAAAGGTCATGATTAAATGTTACCATGAACCCTCAATTTCTGTCATCTGCCATAAGCCTTTGGTTTCTGTCATGCAGTGGAGGAATTGAAGTCGCCCTGCTCCGAGAGAGTAGTCCAGGTATACCTGGGCCTCCTGATGAATGCGGTAGGCAGCCCCTTGTCCGTCCCCACGTTGCACAGTGAGCTTGCCTGGGGCCGCTTGCAAAGCTAGGTGTTGCTGGGGCCTAAAGACTCCCATTGTCCAGCAGAGGGCAGCAGCCATGCAGGGATGTCTGATACTGTACTTCCTAGGAAATAAAAGATAAAAGCGAAACTTTTGGTCTTAGTTTCTGTCTTGCGATTTTTACTTCATTATATGCAGAGATTCACAATAAGACCTTGCCTAGAAGAAAAACTTCTTTTTTGGGGTTCAATCTTACAATAAGATAATACATGGATTTTAGTTATTTTGGAAGTTATTATCAAGGCCACCATATTATCTGTCTTGAGACAGGGAAGAAAAGCAAGAATGTTTCCAGAAACTTTGAGATGGCAACTCACAACTCCTATCTCAAATAGAAAGAAGTTAGGAACAATAAGATGGATTTGAAATTGGGAGTGGAGAAAGAATATAAAAATTCTTGGTAAAGGAGGATGTATACTTTATATTGAAATTATCATAGGTGGGACCAGCTGATGGTGTAATGGTTACATCACTGGACTCCCATGTTACTCGAACCGGGGTTCAAGTCCCTGACCCGGTGGCTTAAAACTTCCACTGGGTATGTCTGTGTGTGTATGCTCAAAATCCTGAGAGGAGAATGGGGAGAAGGGATTTCAGTGTAGCCATCCCCCCAGGTGCTGATCTCTCACTTTCTGACTCTGTCTCTCTCTGTCTCTCCGGTGAGCACATGTGCCCTATAGCAAAAATCTCTCTTAAAAAATTATCATAGGAAAACAAAGAACTTAAATGCTATCATATGGGACATGCATTCAGGGAAATCCTCTACTTGAGGCCTAAAATCTTGTCACTGATATATTCTTTCTTCCTTTTTTAGTTTTGCCATAGGATGCTTGCACTCACTGGAGAGAACGTGGAAATTCACTCTCTGGGGGATGGCCATGTTACATTTCCTTCTCTTCCGTTCTCCTCTCGGGATTTTGGGCATGCACGCACAAGTGCCTAGCGTGTTTTCAATCCACTGGGTCCATATAGTCAGTCCATACATGATTGAAACCATAGAGTTGGCCATGTGGGATTCAGCTGCCTTAACCTCGGGCTGCTGCTGGATCTGGCATGATATATCTTGATGTTTCCTTCTCACATAGAATTAACAGACTGAGTGTACAGGTCTTTGGGTTGCTTTTGAAGAAATGGGCCGAATATCTGTGCTGAGAAGATATGTATTTATAAAAACTCTGAATTCTCCTTTATACATTAAGGGGCTAAATTAACAAATTAGTGATTCATCTCTTTGAATGTTCAGAATAAGGCAGACATAAGAAATGACAATTTCATCCTGAAGTAAGAAAACGAAAGACGTGTACTCCTACCTTCTTCCTCTGGCTACAATAGTTACCTGATTGTGCCTGTCAGAGCTGGCTGCGTATTCTAGGTGAAACCAAGGCAACCAGCTCCAGCCAAGGACCCAGGACTAGTTGGACTATTGGAGAATTCCACCTTCTGCAGAGAGCAGAAAACAGCGCAAATGATAACTGGATGATGTTTATTACTGAGTTTGATAGGGAATAAAAGGATTGTGAAACTTCAGTCTCGGTGTCTTCAGAATTCTGAAATTTCCATCTTAAGCAATAAAATGAATCTAATACAAGTCTAACCTTGAGCGAAGTGACTTTTCTAAGTATAATTAATAGGCTTTAAGAGTCTCAAACTCAGGACCAGCAGATAGTGTAGGAGTTACGTCACGGGACTCCCATGGACCTGGTGGCTTCACATTCATGCTTGGCACTTGTGTGCGTGCGTGCCCAAGCTCCTGAGAGGGCAATGCAAGAGAAAAGATTATGGCATGGCCATCCCCCCTGGGAGGTGATTTCTCACTTTCCCTCTCATTGTATCTGTCTGTCTGTCTCTCTCTTCCCGACAAGTGCCCTAAAGCCAAAAAAACTCTTAAAAAAAAGAGTCCCTAACTCGAAGTAATGACTAGCTATAATCCCAGTATTTAATAAGGCCTCCATTTGTCTTGATAAATCCACACAACTATTACGATTGTCTGTGTTATAGCTAACCTAGTGAAGAACTCTTGGAATTTTCTTTCTTTTCTTATTTCGTTTCGTTTCTTTCTTTTCTTTTTTTTTTTTTTTGTTCATCTAGCATGGATCTTGATGACTCTGCAGAAGAGTCTGAGGAGAAGGAATATTCTTCTGTCTGCGTTGGCAGAGAAGATCAAATTAAGAAAACCGAAAGAATGACAGCTGTGGTCCACGACAGGGAAGTGGTCATTTTCTACCACAAAGGAGAATATCACGCCATGGATATCCGCTGTTACCGTAAGACTTTTTTCCTTTGCAAAGCTCGTATTTATTCACTTATTTATTTGTTTACATCAAAATTCAGCATTTTAGTGACTATGTAATATTCACTTCCTTTTCAGACTCCGGAGGACCTTTACATCTGGGAGAAATAGAGGTGTGTAAGATGTCGTCTCTTTTCTACAAACTCAGATCTTCCCCGTCCATATTCGCACTTGTTTATTTCATTCTTATCCAAAAATAGTTTACATTTGGGTTTTAAATATATTCTTTCTTTTTTTTTTTTTTTTT